CATTCGTTACACACATAGAGTTTCTCCCTCCTGTGGCTTTTCATGTGCCGAGACAGACATGAGCTCCGGCGAAACTTGGCACAGCACCTGAGACACTTATAAGGCTTCTCACCAGTATGGATTCTGATGTGTGCCCTCAGGTAGGCTCTATGATTGAAGACCTTCCCACAGTCATCACATTTATTTGTTTTATTTATTTTCTCTCGTAAATGCATTTTCCGATGCAAAGCAAAGTATGCCTTATCGCTGAAGTTTTGGTCACAGTCAGGACACTTGTACACATTTTCGGCTTCTTCCCAGGGAAATTCAAGAATTTCAGAAAGTGCTTTGGCTCCTAAACATTCAGATAGTTCTACTAATGGGGTATGATTGTCAATGGTAACTAAAAGGCTTATGAACTTTTTCTTGCAAGGGGGAGTTCCACCTGATATTTTCTCTTCAGGGTTTTCAACTCCATCCTCAGAGGAGCTTTCTGGGTACTGGACAGGGGATGCAGGAATGGGGTACTCTTCTAGGGAAAGCTCTTCAAGTTCCATAGACTCTAGGCTTAACTGCTGATTCATCTCAGTTTCACCTTCTACTCCTGTTTGATAAAAACAAAACAAAGCAAAACATAGACAACACCTTCAAGTGGTACTGGGGAAAAAAACAAGCTCAGGTAGTTAAAGTACACAAGAAAACTATAGGTGGGTTATCCTGCAATCCAGACACTGATAAATATGCAAAATCAGGAGACAACAGGCTCTCCCAGCCTCCCAAATGATCCGGTCTAGGTGAACCTGCAAGGGGGAGGAGCAGAGAATAGCTATAACTAAGTCAGAGTCCAGTGGGATAGGTACTAAGGACAATCTTGGTAGACGTTGTCTAGAGGTGAAGTTTTCCAGTTAGTCTATTTAGATCTCAAGAATTTTTCATCATTTAAGCTATCTCAAGTGACAGCTGAGCAATTACAATTGGAAAAGAGATTGGATTCATATTTATTAAGAAAGAAAGGGCAAGTGAGTATTTTTCTAACTTAACAGAGAAACACACAGGTTACCAGAAATAGTTTTTTTTTTTTCTCTTGCTATGATCTTTTTTTTTATTTCAGCATATTATGGAGGTACAAATATTTAGGTAACGTGTGTTGCCTCTCCCCCCTGACCCCCGAAATAGTTTTACCACCACCAGAAGTCTCCAAAATTTCTCTACCCCTGACTAAGGAAAGATCAAGGGAGAGCTGCTGTGTGTACTGCAGGCAGGTAGTAGCCAGTCTTACTACAAGGACAGCTGACAAAACTTGGGCCTACCAAAAAGCATTCCTTTTAATATTTTTCCAAATATTCTTCCAGAAAGAAAGCTCAGAGCATCTACATGGGGTCCCATTAAGACTCTGGCTCAGTACTAATCTGCAAGTGCCTGAGGAAACTACCCAACCACAGAAGGAACCACCAAAAAAGAATATACAGGGCAATAATCAGAGTTCACACAACCGTTTATGTTCCCACCAACCAAAGTGGAAAGACCCTTTAACACATAAGACATCAAGCAGTGTCCTCAGAAAAATACTGCCTTTGCAGATCAGCCCCAGAATAAAGGCTGATCTGAACCCAACCTTACAAAGCAGAACAACACACCTTGAAAGGATCAAACTGACCCCAAGTAACTTAACTACGTCCCACAACAAAGTCCAAAAATAGTTTTTAAAATACAACAAAATATATTACCAAACAACATAAAATTCGCAATGTCCAACATTCAATCAAAAATTATCAGGCATGTAAAGAAGAAGGAAAATATGACGCATCACTAGGAGAAAAATCAATCAATAGAAACATATCCACAAGTGACACAAATGATAAAACCAGTACAAAAAAAAATGTTTAAATAGCCATTATAAATATATTGCATATGTTCAACAAGGTAGAAGAAAACATGAATATGACAGAGAAGTGGAAGATATAAAATATGAGTTATGGGATAGCTTACATATTCAACCTACATTCCTATGTCAGAGATAAAACCTACTCAGGCATAGGAGTCCACCTGCATATAGTTCCTCTAAGGTGAGAAAGGCACAGCACCTCCTTGAGCAAATCAATTTCCAATCTTTAGCAAATGACAGTAACCTATACTGATGGGATTTCCCATGTAAAACTGTAAATTGATTTCATCAAATGTTTGGCAAGACTACCAGATATTGCCACTTCTCATGCAAAACCACAGTCCCTGTACTAGATATATTTTAAGAAATCATGTCATACTTTAAAACTTGCTCTTTCATTCAATTATCATATACACATAAATCACCCAGAGATGGGTCCCACTCCACCATATCAACATGTGTACAAGGCATGAAATCCTCATCCTAGAACTGATGAAAGTTCCAAAATGCAGGAAAAACAATTGCCTTACCCATAAAGGCCACATCCTCAAAACACTCCTGTGTGGCATCTCTGCTGAGGGACCTCTGGATAGGGTGCAGACTCACACACTCCTCTTGAGAAAAATACACAGCCAGATCCTCAAACAGCATTGGTCCCTGAAACAACATGAGAGCCCAACTCAGTTCAAGAGACTGGAGGGTCAGCCCCTTTCTTAGTCTAGGAACACTGAGCAGAGCTAGAAATATCAGATGCAAGGGAGAAAAGGGCTTGGTGTAAAAGGTTCCTGAGTACTGGGATGGGGTATTAATGGCTTCTAAGAGGTAAGGTGGGGGTTGGGAAGGAAAGAGTAAACATGCACATAAATTTTGAGGCAGTGGAGTAAGGACCAAAACAGTACATTGTGAGAATGACGTAGTATCTCCTGGAAGAGAAAATATGAGGGAACAACAACTCTTGGGGATGGAAACCATTAAGGATGCTCTAAGAAAAAGAAGACTGGGCAGCCCAGGAAGAATCATTTTCTCCCTCAGGACACTCACTGCTACACTGTGAGGCCTACTCTTCCCTCCCCAATGGTATGATGAAAAATCACCAGGGCTTTATTATTATTCAACAGGTGTGGAGCAAAGCCTAGAAAACTACAATTTTGAGAAGCGTTCCAGAAAGACACTCTGCGAAAACTCTCCTATAGACTCCTCCAAAGGGCTCTGCTCCCAGTTGGTAGTTCTGAAAGGAAGAAGCTGGTAAACCCCTTCTATGTCGCAGGTCTAGGAACGAAGACATCTTGGTGGAAGGGCTGGTAGCGTATCAGACACACTCCCATCACGATCGGCATGCCTAAGCCTCCTCCCAAGGAGGTGGTCAGGCAGAGGCCGGAAAGCAGCAACGAACGGGGGCGGAAAAAAAGGTACTGCGTCTCACCTGGGCCTCGGTTGTCGGGAGCGCGGACGCCATCTGGGGAAGTGGGGGTGGGGGTGCCTTCTTCAAGTCGCCACAGGGACTTCGGGACAAAGCTGCGAGAGGAGAGAACAGTCCCTTATGGGGCCAGTTCTGCAAAGGTCCTTCACGCACCCCCAGCCTCCCTCTTTTCTGCCCAGATCCTTTAAGAACCTGAGCCGACTGCTCCTCTCCCCAGCCCAGCCTCGAAGGGGGACCACTTACCAGTCCGGGACTAATGACAGCCTCGTGTTGCCCGGGCAGACGCAGCAAAAAGCGACGCCCGATGGTAACGCAACAACGAAGGCCGCAGCCACCGCAAAACTCCCACGCTCCCATGCTCCCCCACGCAGAGCTGCGGGGAAAGCAGCCGGAAGGGACCCGCCCCTTGCCGCATTGGCCATATGCCCTTTGATTGGTCAGCGGGCTCCCGAGGGGGCAGTCCTTCTTTTGTGTTGGCCAATCGGACACCTCAACCGAGGAGCCATCGCGCACTGGGCAGGGGAGAGATGTAGTGTTCTTTCTTTTCTCCGGGCATTTCCGCTTCCGCTGACGGGGTCTCCCTGGTGAGCTCCGGGCCTGTTGACCCACTGAAATGGAGCCTTAGGGTGACCCCTGAGGAAGGAAATGTGTCCGAGAAGAAGGAAAGCAAGAAGACAGGGAGACTCCAGAACTCGAGTCGGTAACCAAATGTGGGCTCGGCCGGCAGTGCCCTGGAGGCCTAAAATTTGGGCCTGGCCGGGGTGAGGTAAATGAGAGCCCAGGGTCACGGGCCTAGCCCTTGGCCAGAGCAGCCTGCTGTGTCTCGGGCGAATTATGGGGAAGTGGAATGCAAAGTGGATGTCTTTTTATGAGTTCATAAAGTTAAGATCCGTATAGGCCAGGTTGCTAGTCTCCGACCCGAAGGATTCTGGAGGCAGGCATTGTGCGTTGTACGTCGCAGCTGCAGACCAGCCGAGTCATCGGCTCGGGCCTGCGGCGGATCAAGCGGGAATAGAGACACTGGTTTGCCTCACGGGACATTGTTCACCTCCTAATACCTCACATTCTACCTGCCCCAGTGCCAGACATTCCCATGTTACTGATACTGGGTGCTGGAGTATAGAGATTTGGAATTAGAAAATTGAGTTCCTTCCCCAGCTCTGCCACTGATTGGTTGGTAATCTTGACTGATTTACAACTCTACTTTCCTCAGCTTCGTAGAGTTCAGAATGCCTCTCCAGCCTAACTCAGAGGGTAATTGTAAAGATTATAAGATAATGTAGGTGAAAGAAATTGTCCATTTACAAAGATGTTTGGGGAAAGGAAAAGATGAGGATGATAGGTCCCTTGACAGAAAAGCCTGAGTAAGTCTGAACATATTTCCTTATTCTAGTGCCAGGACACGCCTGTACCCAAAAGATTACTTAGTGAATGGTTCCATGGTTATTAAAATAATTTGAGGCTGGGCGCTGTGGCTCACACCTGTATTCCTAGCACTCTGAGAGGCCAAGGCGAGAGGATCACTCAAGGTCAGGAGTTCGAGACCAGCCTGAACAAGAGCGAGACCCCATCTCTACTAAAAATAGAAAGAAATTAATTGGACAACTAAAAACATATATAGAAAAAATTAGCCAAGCATGGTGGCGCATGCCTGTAGTCCCAGCTACTCAGGAGGCTGAGGTAGGAGGAGGATTGCTTAAGCCCAGGAGTTTGAGGTTGCAGTGAGCTATAATGATACCACTGCCCAGGAGACAAAGCAAGACCCTGTCTCAAAAAAAAAAAAAATTGGTTAACATAACAGTTGTTTCTTGGCTTTTATCCTTCATGGTGGGCACTCGGGAATGTCATTGGAGAGAGGAGCTTCATTCTGCATGCTGCAATGGCCTTGGGTGGGTGTTTCATCATCTGTAAAATAAGCACAGCAGAACTATCTTTCAGGATCATTGGGGAAAGTAAGTGAGAACATTCAGGAAGGATTATAACGAAATGTTTAGCACATGACAGACACTTATCAAATATGCATTCACTCATATTCCATTCTAGAAGTTCCATTGTACAACGAACACCTCTTTTGAAATATCTATCAAACTGCCTTTTGATGGCACATCTCAATGGCAGAGAGTGTGTCTCAGTCATCATTTGTACCCAGAGTGAGGAAAGAAGGAAGGAAAAGAATCCAATATCCAAGCTTGGCCCTAATCTCACTCACGCTTGCCTTTTATTTATGAAAATACCATGATGCTTGTCCATGTAAATAGTATCTCTGAAAGGATACCAGGACACGAGTAAGAATGGTACGTGGAGAACTCTGGCACTCAGAGTCAGAGGGGGTGGAAACTTACTTTTCACTGTATATCCTTTTGTTTGGTTTCTTTAAAAGATTTACCATAGGTGTGCGTTACTTCTAAAAAAAAATGTTTAGTGTTAAAAAAATCCCCCCAAGTTAAACCAAAAAATGTTGGACACAACTGTAAAAATCATTATATAAAGATGAAATATAAATGGATCATACAAGTTTTTAAGTGAAACTCAGTAAGAAGTGCCCATTAAAACAATGAGATCTTTTTCACTTAGGTTAATTACAGAAAGGTGAATAATAATAGCCCACATTGGTGAGGGTATGGGCTGTGTGTCCTGCTGTGGGAGATATAGAGTCTTATCACTCATAGTATGATAATAAGTTGGTAAAACTTTTCTGGAAGGCAATCTGGGGTTTGTTTCCAAAGTTAAAATGTGATTAATTTAAAATAATTTTAACCAACATTTCCCTAAGGAAATACAGCATTTTGCAGTTTTTGTGTACAGGGTTGTGAGTTGCAACCTTGTTTCTGACCTGACCCTGATCCCCAGGCCCTGCTCTCCTCCCTTCCCTGTCCCACTTCACCTGCTGATTGCCTTTCCCCAATAGAGCCATAGGCAGCTGGGGTGTGTAGGGGAGGTTCAGTATCACCCAGGGTTGGAATAAGAGAGCAGTAATGGGCTTGGTTACTCTGTGTGCTAGATAAGAGCCTGGGGACCATGTGGGAGCGGCCTGAGGTGAAAATTAAAATGCCTTCATTTCTGGAGTACTTTGGCCTTTGAGATTAATGGGCCTTAGAGAAGGGCAGAGCCTGCCTAGACAGATGGTCGCTTGCTGCTCTCCCTGGGCTGGAGGAGCCTGATCACCGCTCTGTCCCCAAGGCTGGCAGAGGGCTGTCCAGCTGAGCAGACAGGAATTGAGGACTTCCCTTCAAGTGCCTCCAAACAGGTACCACTGCCTGGCAGCTTAGTATATGGCAAGACTCCAGGGTCTACTGGCTGTCCACCACGGGTAGCCTTTAGGCATTTCCCTGCTTGGCCCATGTCCAGAGGGTGAAAGGGGTGATGAGTAAGCAAGAGAAAACCAGTAATGTGCCTGAAGAGACCTTGGAGCCACAGGGAGGACAGACAGAAACTCTCAATTCTGGGTGAAACAACTAGAGGAGATGACAGCTTTGCCCTAATTCCACAACCAGACGAGATTCAATTATAGCAAAACTTTCTGGAACTGAAAAGCTTTTTTTCCCTTAAATTTATTATAGAAGTCCAGTAGATAAATCAAAGGAAATGATGGTCATTACAAAGCAAGTAGCCTGTTAAATCAAGTGGAAGAAATATCTCAAAACACAGCAAAGAGAAACCAGGAAGGCAAAGACTGGGGGAGCTGGTGAGTAATGACCTGACAGAGATTAGCCGGTTCCTGAACCAGTCCCTGTGACCAGCAGATGCCCTCTCCCTGGACTTGCTTAGACCAGGGTCACCTGAGCCAAGGGGGGACAGGGTGACCTTAACTGGTTAGACCAATTAGAGAACACTGGATCAAGGGGTGGAATAGATGCCACCCACACAATAGCAGAGGGTGGAATGAGTTTTATATCTTGAATATTCCTTTTAGAAGCACATGGTACCTGACTGAAAGAATCCTCCTGAGGAAAAAAGAGATCTTGTGTGAAATGCTTAACAGAGTGCCTAGCACATATCCCTGGGGAATATTATTCTTTCTTTCTTTCTTTCTTTCTTTTTTTTTTTTTTTTTTGAGACAGTCTCATTCTGTTGCCCGGGCTAGAGTGCCGTGGCATCAGTCTTGCTCACGGCAACCTCAAACTCCTGGGCTCAAGCAATCCTCCTGCCTCAGCCTCCCGAGTAGCTGGGACTACAGGCATGCGCCACCATGCCCGGCTAATTTTTTCTCTATATTTGTAGTTGTCCAGCTACTTTCTTTCTATTTTTAGTAGAGATGGGGTCTCACTTTTGCTCAGTCTGGTTTCAAACTCCTGACATTGAGCGATCCTCCTGCCTCAGCCTCCCAGAGTGCTAGGATTACAGGCGTGAGCCACCGAGCCAGCACAAGTTATTCTTTTCTCATTTGTGTTTTAAAAAAGTGTTTTTAAAGTTTGAATGGAGGCCGGGCGCAGTGGCTCATGTCTGTAATCTAGTACTCCGAGGCCAAGGCGGGCAGATTGCTCAAGGTCAGGAGTTCGAAACCAGCCTGAGCAAGAGCAAGACCCTGTCTCTACTATACATAGAAAGAAATTAATTGGTCAACTAATATATTAGAAATTAGCGGCATGGTGGGCATGCCTGTAGTCCAGCTACTCAGGAGGCTGAAGCAAGAGGATCGCTTGAGCCAGGAGTTTGAGGTTGCTGTGAGCTAGGCTGATGCCACGCATTCACTCTAGCCTGGCCACAAGCAAGACTCTATCTCAAAAAATAAAATAAAATAAAGTTTGAATGGATATAATATATGCCTTTGTTTTGCCCTTCATCTTATAGTGCTGTTACAAGAACCCCAGAAACAAGAGTGTTGTGATCTGCCGTCCCTGGGAGCACTTCTCAGCTCCGATGTGCCTCCAATTCAGTTGAGACGCTGTTGAATACGGATTCTGAGTGAAATGCAGGTCTGACGCAGTCTGGGTGGGGCCTGGGATTCTGCATTTTCAGCAAGCTCCCAGGTGGTGCTGATGCTCTGGACCAACAGACCACACTTTGAGTCACCAGGGCTTAGGTGGGGTGCACGACGGAGGGGCTCACCACTGCGTGTCCTACCAGTGGAAAGGAGTGAGAGAGGAGAATAAGCATTTCCTTTTTTACCCCCATCTTTTTATTTTGAAATTTCAAGCGCCTGAATATTTGAAGAATAATGCAGTGAACACCTATGAACCCTTCACCTAGCTTCACCAATTGTTAACATTTAGCAATTTCTCGAATTTTTTTTCTCTTTCTTTTTTTTTTTTGTTTTTGAGGCAGAGTCCCACTCTTTCACCCAGTAGAGTGTAGTGGCATCATTCAGCTTGCTGCATCTCCAACCTCAACTCCTGGCTCAAGCGATCCTTCTGCCTCGCCTCTCAGGTAGCTGAGCCTACATGCATCGCCACTGCGCCGCTAGAGATGGGGTCTCACTCTTACTCAGGCTGGTCTCAAACTCCTGACCTTAAGCAATCTTCCTGCCTTGGCCTTCCTTTAACAATTTAAGGACATGACACCATGTTGCCTATGTCACCTTCATTTTTGTTGTTTTGTTTTGTTGTTGTTGTTGTTTTTGAGACAAAGTCTCCCTTTGTTGCCCAGGCTAGAGTGAGTGCCTGGTGTCAGCCTAGCTCACCTCACCTCAAACTCCTGGGCTCAGGTGATCCTCCTGTCAGCCTCCGAGTAGCTGGGACTATAGGCACGTGCCACATGCTGGCTAATTTTTTCTATATATATTAGTGCCATTAATTCTTCCTATTTATAGTAAAGACAGGGTCTCGCTCTTGCTCAGGCTGGTTTCGAACTCTGACCTCGAGCAATCCGCCGCCTCGCCCTCCAGAGTGCTAGGATTACAGGCGTGAGACACCGCACCCAGCCATCATTCTTGTCCACTGTAAAAGCTTTGGCACATAGCCTGATCCTGCTGTAAGAGAGGCTCAGAAATAAAAGCCTAGCTTGGCAGTGATTGGCCCTGCTATATAGGGTAGGATTCTATTACTACAAGAATATATGAGAAAGTCGGGCTCAGTGGCTCACACCTGTAATCCCAGCACTTTGGGAGGCCAAGATGGGAGGATCACTTGAGGCCAAAAGTTTGAGAACAGCCTGGGCAACATAGCAAGGCCCCATCTCCAGAGAAAATGTTTTTAAATAAAAATCTTAAAATAATAATAACAACATATAACACCATTATTTTAAAAAGGGAGGGGGGAAGGATTGGGACAGTGAATGCATGGCTACTAGGGGACAATACTCTGCTTCTGACACTGACTCATTGAATCTTGTTTTCTTTTTTGTTTTTTTCTTAGTACTAATAGGAACTAATAGCCAGATGTTCTCTTCAAACTGGATTCTGGACAGCTTGGAGCTAAATTTACAGCCCATCTCTAGAAAGTATGTAGGACTTCACAGTATGCATTTTACATACCCACATCACTTTTTAGTTTTCCACCCTCTTTTTCTCTTTGCCTCATGCATTCTTGCCATAATGTGTTGATCTTTCTAATTGGTCTTCAGTCTTTTATTGCAACAAGTTTAATTACTGTGAATTAAAAAAAAATTTTTTTTTAGTGTATTATGGGGGTACAAGTGTTAAGGTTACATATATTGCCCATGTCCCCTCTCCCCCCTCAAGTCAGAGCTTCAAGTGTGTCCATCCCCCAAATGTTGCACATCTTACTCATTGTGGTTGTATATATTCATCCCCTCCTCCCCCCTCCCACTTTCCCGACACCCGATAAATGTTACTCCTATATGTCCACTAGGTGTTGATCCATTAATACCAATTTGCTGGTGAGTACATGTGGTGCTGGTTTTTCCATTCTTGAGATCCTTCACTTAGTAGAATGGCTTCCAGCTCTATCCAGGAATGTACAAGAGGTGCTATATCACCACTGTTTCACGGAGAAATGCTGATGCGGACCGAGCGCATTCTGATAGGCGGGCAGGTGTCTCGCGGGGTCGCTAGCGGCATCCCACCGTGTGAGACTCACCTGTCACGCACTGTTAGTGGAGGCGCAGAAGATGGCGGCCGCCCCGAGCGCCTAACCTGACGCGGTGGAACGCTGTGGCGCGGTCCTCGGTTGAAGACGAAAGGCGCAAGTGAGTCGTATTTTTCTACTTTGAGCATCTATGATCGTGAGCGACCGCCAACGACCGAGAGCATCGCACACACGAGCTACACAGTTACTCACGGCCTCCAGCTACCAACCACTGACCGCTTCTTAGCAGATGTAACATATTGTCTTTTGTGTCTTCTGACTCGCTTTTATTGCTATTGCACATCCACATCTTTTCTGTGTCTCATTGGCGTCGACAGCTTATGCAGTAAGCCTGACCATAAGCTGTCACACAAAGTTCGCGCGAGCGGCGGCACCAATATCGTAGCCAGGCTGGCAGGCCTAACGTGGTGTTGCCTCACCTGCGCACGACTGCCCTCAGCACCACAACGGGTTTCACACGACAGAAGTCTCCAAAATTTTCTCTACCCCTGACTACGGAAACGATCAAAGGGAGAGCTGGCTGTGTGTACGCAGCAGGTAGTACGACAGTCCTTCTCAAAGGACAGCTGCACCACAAACTCTGGCTACCAAAAGCATTCGTTTAATATTTTAATATCTCTTCCAGAAGAAAGCTCAGAGTTACATGGGGCGTCCCATTAGACTCTGGCTCAGTATAACCTGAAGTCTGAGGAAACCAAAAGAAGGAAAAAAAGAATAACAGGCGCAATCACAGAGTTCACACACCGTTTATGTTCACAAAGGGAAGACCTTTACACATAAGAATCAGAGTGTCCTTGAGAAATGTGCAGATCAGAGAATAGGCCTGATCGAACGCCCACACTACAAGCCAGCACAACACACCTTGGAAAGGAGTACCAAACTGAGCCCCCAAGTAACTTAACTACGTCCACAAGCCAAAGTCCGCAACAATGATTTCTAAAATCAAAAAATATACCAAACGACATAAAATTCCGCCAAATGTCGCAACATTCAATCCAAAAATTATCAGCCGCTGTACAGAAGAGGAAATATGACGCAATCACTAGGAGAGAAAATCAATAGTAGACACATATCCACAAGTGACACCAAATGACTAAAACTACAAAAAAAAAAGTTTAAATAGCCATGTATACATATATTGCATATGTCAACAAGGAGAAGAAAACATGAATATGCACCAGAGAAGTGGAAGATATACAATATGAGTTATCGGTAGCTTACGATATTCAACGCTACAATTCCGCTATGTCAGAGATAACAACTACTACCAGGCATAGGACATCCCACGCCTGCATCAGTAGTTCTCTAAGGTGAGAAACGGCACAGCACCTCCCTTGAGCAAGCCATATTTGCAATCTTTAGCAATGACAGTAAACCTATAGCTGATGGGATTTCCATGTAAAACTGTAAATTGATTTCATCAAATGTTTGGCAAGACTACCAGATATTGCCACTTCCTCCATGCAAACCCAGTCCTGTACTAGATATATTAAGAAATCCATGTCATACTTTAACAACTTGCTCTTTCATTCAATTATCATATAACACTAATCAGCGCAGAGATGCGGATTACCACTCCACCATACAACATGTGTACAAGGCATGAAATCCTCCATCCCTAGAACTGATGAAAGTTCCAAAATGGCATGGAAAACAATTGCCTTACCATAAAGGCCACATCCTCAAACTCCTGTGTGGC